TATGTAGTTTCACTTTAAAGTGTATAAAGATGAGTTATCAATTAAACGCACAAACAAATCTAATACCAATTGTGTTTGAAAGTTATTTTTAACAACGAGAGGAAGAAAATGTCTGCTTTATTTAAAATGATCGCGGAATCTGACGTTTGTTCCAATAGATTTAATAGAGTTTCGGACACTTCCATGAAATAGCTTTGTCGGCGAAGTAAGATGATGCCAGACTCTTAAAAATGTGCATACATTTAACATTTTGTGAAAGAAAAAAAAAGAATAACGTGTGAAATTCAGGAAATAATACATGCCACCAAAAGTACCTTTTCGGTTTTATTACAAGGAGAAAGTACGAGGACAAACTAATTTGCAATCGCAAACAATGCGTCATATTACTGATCTCACAGCGAAACCTTCATACGACCGTTTGCTATCAAAGATGTTGTCAAACGTTAACGTCAGTTCCGGTCACTTCCGACGTTTATGCTAGGATTTCTACAGTTTACAGGAAGGGGTAACGTTAGATTTTTTCTTAACTTGCCCGTTGTCGTTAGATTCAGATGTTTTGGTAAAGGATGTCGGGCTGTCTTCGCCGTCTGGTTGACATTGCAGGAGTTCCAGCTCACGTTTCATGGTTCCGAATTGCTGGCCTTCCTTGAAGCAGCTACAGGAGCTTCTGTGGGGTTTCCGCTGACTCATGGAACCCTCTTTCGACTTATATGTGCCCCATATTCCACAAAAGGAAGCAGTACAGGTTCTCTGAGGAGTTGTATAGTTTACTAAAGTCATTGTTGGTAATTTCATTAGCACGAGTGTGTTTTATATATGGCATTTATATTTTACTTGTCGTTGACAAGAGAATTATTTTCAAATGCAATTATTAACGACCTATTTTGATACACATTAAAATTAATCTACACAGTGTTCGCGACCAATTTATGGTTTGAATGTCGACCAATTTGCAAATGTTTCTTCTTTGGGAAAACATTACATACAGATTCAATGTATATACTATCTAACTACCAACCATTTATCAAACTGTATAAACAAAGCCCTGGTATTTCACTGACAGCTAATGCTTGGCATCCAATTCTCTTTAGTGGTATATGACGCATGCCCTTTGTATACCTGGCACGATAGTTGCACATCCGGTTGAATGCAGACAATGGAATGTATGCGGTATCGAATTTGCATCAATCAGGAAGCCGGTCAACTGCATGTAATGAAAGTCTGTTCAAACAACTGACGTGCCCATGTCCCATACAGAATGCTATCACATCGTTCCCAGTGTCATTAAATTATTAATTATTGTAGAATGTACAGTGTAATATATAATAATCCTAGTAATGAACAGTGTATGTCGTCTGCTTACACTGTCATCATACTAAAAAAATAAAATGAATAAAAATGGAGGAAACTTCAACAAAAACAAACTAAAACAAAACAAAACAAGGCACAAAAAAACTAGCTCGAGTTTCCTCTGGCCCTGACACCAGACCTAAACATTTTGACAGATAGATGTTTGGGTAGCCAGAGTTTTCTCTGGCCCCGACACCAGACTAAGACATCTTGACAGACAGATGTCTGGTTTTGGAACATCTATCTGTCAAAATGTCTTCGTCTGGTGTCAGGGCCAAAGGAAACTCGGGCTAACAAAAAACATGCGATAATACTGAAACAGTACAACATGTAACATAAAGAGATAATTATTTTTGAATCTACTATAAAATATAACAAAGTTCACGTGAGGCCACATTCCGCATGAGCTGTTACTGTTATTTATCAACGGTCCCGCCCAGTGGTGATATACACCAGTGCAAACATATTCCTACAGCTCAATGAATAGTTTTATGGCTGGAGATAACAAAAACTGAATGGAATAATTTTGTAAAAGTTCTACAATGGCGTATGGTGCTCCAATGTCAGTTAATAGGCCCTCTGCTCACACGGTAGTACATGAAGGCTTGTCTGGGGCAAGATCAATATGAAGGCGTAACAGGATGTAGCGTTTCTACTGCATCGTGTTGCAAAACACTTGATGTAGTATTAAATTTGGTGTTGAACATATGGAACCATTACATTAAGAATACTTTCATGTAATTGAGGAGACATAATTTGACTGATGCAAAAAAAAACGTGGTTACGTTGAATATTCTTAGCTTAATATTTTTTCTTTAACGTCTAGCGGTGCCTTCAGATTGAAAAAAAAATCAGTTAAAAATAATTCCCTTAAGCTAAAAAACGTTCGTAAATCTAGGGCCTGTTCTTTTTTTACGATATACTAATATATGATATAATTAATATCTGCCAAACTATTCTCTAAGGGAGTGGTTTTATAAGAACTACTAGTACATTGTATTCATGTTTCCAGAACATGGAGTGCTTCTCCCCTGTAGACCATAATGGACTCGTCAAGATCAATGCATGGAAGAGTTTACTTAAGTTACATAGGGGTGAAAAAGGTTAATGCCCTCGCCACATGTTATCTCGAGTCCTTTACTGGGTCTCTTCCATAAATGTGACACACTCTTCGATCATATAAAATGTAATCCCCTTCCCCATGTATACTTCATAGAGAATTGGTGGAAATTCATGTAGCTGCATGTATTCTTAGAAAAGGATTTAAAGGGAACACACTGAAGGCCGTAGGCACAATATATACCATAGATTGCCATTATTGTAAGGTCAAGGCTCATAATTTCTGATAGGTTTACTTATTTTTGGGCGGCATGAACTTAAGAATCAATAGCTGACTCGGAGTCAATCAGAGAATACCCCCCCAACATTCTGTACAGAAATGCATAATTATAGGTATAATGCTTCTTTCAACTTTCGCCCCCGCTACCTTGAAAATTGTTCGAGGTAATTTGAGAAAACCTTTTACATAAATATGGCTCTATCGGTATTTCTTCTTTTTCTTCCAATTAAAATGCAGGCCCTTAAAGGTATTCTTTGCACAAAATCATTGGAAGTTTTAATGCATTTCGTCTGTGTCGTACTCATTTGAACAAAGATGGTTACTGTATACCGGTGGATTGGGGGCTATACGTTATAAACCTATGTCTCACAGTTCGCTAAAAGAAGTATTTAATTGAAAGTCAACGCCCTAATAGAACACACACACATATATATATACGAGGAGGGACTATGGGAGATAAAAGTCTGTATTTTACAGGATATCGGTGAACGCGGTGGGATCGCATAGAACGCCGAGCGACGGCGCGCACTTTGAGCATGCCCAAGACAAACTCCGTCGCTCGGCGTCCTGATAAGAGCGCAGTGGGATCGCCGTAAGGTCGCCGTAGCAGCGCAGTAAGGTCTCCTTCAACGCCACAGGATCGCCGCGGGCGCGCACAAAGGTCGCAGTGCGAACGCAATGGTTATCGGTGGCGCTTGCACGGTGTTCTCCGAGATGACACTGCGTCTCTAACGCGCTGTGACAACTCGATGTACTCAGTGGAAGCGCCATGAGAACGCAGACAATCGCCAACTAGAGCCATGGAGCTCCGTTGAAACACCAAGGTCGCCGTGACATTGCCATCTACATGAAAAATATCATTTTTCCTGCGATCTCGCGGCGCTCTGAGAAATTTAACAACGCCGTGCAATCGCGGCTAAGTGTGACAGGGGCTTTATGTACTTGTTTTCGAATCATGTGACAGATGTTTAATTCGCGAAAAAAGAACAGCCGCATTTGAATATCTGGATCACCTTGTTATCATAGACACGAAAAGTTCTTTACATTTTACTCGGTAGAATAGATATAATCAACATATGATTGTATATTATGGTGAATTTGAAAGCGGCTTTCTTAAATCTTTTCCTTTCATTTTTCTCACACTCATGATATAATATACGCATACGTCGATTATTTCTTAAATTTTAAGGTTTTAAAATATTTCACCCCTGTTACCATGCACGGAAACTAGTACTGTACAACATGATACAACCTTGAGTATTTTCTTTGCAGTTAAACATTTCTTGAATAAAACGATTTTTTTCATCTGGAATTTGTACTTTATTTTTTATGTATTTTTTATCCGTAGAACTACTGAAAGGTCGACAGTAACTAAACAATGTATTGTAATACAGGTTTTGTGCGAGAACAAAAGATGTGAGCATCCACTTCTTACGATAGTGCATTGCACATCTATGGGTGATGTCAAGGCCATAAAGTTTCATATCTCAAGCATGGGTTTTAGTACTTGCTTAGCTTTCGAAAAAACGGTTCCAGATTTTTTGCTCAACAACTTGGAACAACTTTTATAAGTTTGGCCTTAGTGTCTATGAAAACCCATAATGTTTCCTTGTTTAAGACAAGTTGAAAGAGGAATACTGCGCCACAGCATAATCTGTTTATGACATATATGGACGTTAAATAACTAGAGCACAAATATATTCCAATGAGTACAGATGATTTAATGATATAATTATCAGATGACATCTTACAATAATTATATAAATATTATCAATCAATAAATTATATGGATATATACATAAATGATTGATAGAAATAACACACTCACACTTTTAATATAAAGACTGGTGATCTCAGCCGACCAACATTCTGGTGAACCATTTCCTAGTAACAACATTTCACAGTATACAATACAGGGAGTTACCAACATTATGATACGATTATCTCTGTAGGACACATCGCAGTTAACAGACTGTTACATATAATGTTTAACACCAATTTGTAAAATACTATAACACTTTTTTGTTCTCCTTATTGTAACAGAGAGGGGGGGGG